TGACCAATTTGAAACCTGTTATAAATTATTTTAGTTGTACTGACTGTAATGACAGCTCCGCCATTAATTATATTGCTTGTATTTGTACAACATTGTTGAACTTACCTATTAGGAGTGCTCCGATGTTTGATTTTCGGATCCCTCTCTTGTCTCCCCTCCCGCACCAGTTCAGTTGCCTGGCGACGTCAAATCCTCCATACAGTTTTCTTCATGCCCGCCACCGATGGATAATCTGTTCACCTTCAACAGGTACATTTTTAAGTAGTTTTCTTCATGCTTGGCCCGCCACTGATGGATAATCTGTTTACCTTCAACAGGTAAATTTTTAAGTAATATTTTAGCATTAAATTGACCTGTATTCTATACACATCCAGTTCAAAGATTGGAACAATTAAGATTATATGTTCACCAAAGATGCATTTATTTTATTGAAAATACAGTATAATTTAATATTATTAAACTATTTATAGGAACTATATTTAACTATTTTAAAATATAACTTATTTTTGTGATGCAAAGCTGAATTTTCTCAGCAGGATATGATCGAATCATTCTAATATGCTGATTTGCTGCTCAAGAAACATTTATTATTATTATTATCAAAGGTGAAAATGGTTGTACTGCTTCATGTTTTTGTGTAAACCATGGTGCACTGCCATTCAAAATGGTAAGTTTGTGGTAAGTAATAATTCTTGTATTTGTCTAGGAGACATTAAATTGAAAAGTAACAGTAAAGCAGAGTTCCTATACATTCCTATACATATTCCTGGTGTTTTTTTAAGCTTCAATGTGAGTTACTGTTACCATTACCTTTCTCCACAAAAGCTGGCATGGCAGTTCTACTTCTGACACTGGAAATGTTCCTGTGCATATTGGACACTGGTCTTCAAGTGCCTACACATTAAAGTATTAAAATTTGTAAAACAGGAATTGATCATTGACAATGTTCAATTTAGCTTTTGCTTGTGTACCTCCTGAGGGTGATTGCAACATTGGTTGATGTTGCATCAGGTCTAAAGTTTTGCCTTGAAGATGTTGCCTCCTCCTAAATTGAACATTGTCAATTATCAACTCCTATTTTACAAAATTTGCCCTGCATACATTTTGTCTTTAATGTGTAGGACACTTGAAGCCCAGTGTACAATATGCACAGAAACATTTCCAGTGTCAGAAGTAGAACTGCATGCCAGCTTTTGTGGAGAAAGGTAATGGTAACAGTGACTTAGTCACAAATAAAAACACCCCTTAGAAGTCAGGGGCATATTGAAATGTGGAAGTTAGTTCATTAAAAGGTCTTCAAAGCAAAGTCTCTGCAAGGCTACAGTGGTACTGGCTGACAAGTCCTGAATATTAATCCTTACTATTGAAGTAATACGTTTTGCAATTGTCATTGCACAGGTCTTAAAGATAGTACAAAACAAACCTATTATTAAAATGCACAATACACAGTCTTGTAGACTAGGTTGAAGTCAGAATGTACGGACATCGGTCACAAATCGTATTTTAGAAAACTTTGAATAGCAAACTACAGCTGTTGGGTGCCACTGCGAATAAACTTGAGTGTGCATTCTGTCTTAATTTATGAATCATAGCCCGCCAAATGGGCTAGTGATTTGATGTGCGTTACTCACCTTACTTCACTGGAGCTATAATAATCTATAATCTCTGAAAATATTGGCCTGACACTTTACTATTGGGGGCTCTGGCAGCTAGCTATACTGTTGGCTAATCAAATCTACAACGGGCTTAGCTAACGTTACGTATTTAGATGGGAGAGCATGAGAGGAGATAATAATTAAGTTCACTTGTCACTGTGTTTAAGATGTTAAGTTAGTTATTTTACCCAGTAAACGACCTGTTGCTCGCCATGATACAACATCGCTCGCTCTTCTGTCAGACTGCGATGGCAGTGGCGGGGATTCCGGGGAAACGTAGTGGGCGTGGTCAACCTGTGACTTCAATCGAGAGTGACCAATAGAAAAAGGCCTTTCATCCTGGTGGGTAGAGACCGCCCACTGAGAGACAGCTTCACTCGCAAGCAAAACTTTTCAACTTGCAAACAAAAGTTTTAGACCCGCAAAAAAAGACGGCAGAAAAGAGAGTCACATTTGTGGTATCGCGATAAAAAGTGTTTGAAGTGCACAAAGAAAAATAAAGATTTTCAAAGATTTATACGCACTGCAAATCATTTTGTTATCAATTTCTTTATTTTTGAGCCTTAAGAAGACTTTTTTTTGCAATCTTTTATTTTTTAATTACAAAATAATTAGTTTTACTCTCAAACATAGAATGTTTGATTGAATAATAAAGACACAAAAATTATTCCATAGAATCGCTTCACTCCTTAATCATGGGAAAGAATTTAAAACAATTGCAATTTCTGTTTCATACTATAGTTTCTGTTAGTTGGTCTTTATTGGTACTGTGAAGTCACACACAAGCAGTGTTTCCATTACCCTTCAAATTGAGCAAATTGAAATTGCGAATTGAAAATACGCCCAATGGAAACACGTCAATTCTGCAAAAACTCCCATATATTGCAAAAAAGTTTTTGCGCTCACATGAGGTGGTTTTTCAGGCAATTCAGAAAAAAGAATACTTCGCAAAACTGCAATGGAAACGGATTTTCCGCATTTACAGGTCTCCTGGTACACATAAAAGTCACATGCTTGTATAGGGGCTTTCCTTGCCATTAAAGTTTGGATAAACCCTTATTTACACTGCACTCTTCTGCGGCACATTACAGCTCCGACACGGCCACCGGAGCTGATTGCGGCCACTCTAGTCAATGCTCATGTTTATACCAGCCATGCCGCAGCACATTTCAGAAGTGTCCCAGAAGCGGCTCTCTTCGCTGCTTTGCTAAAGATACATGACTACGCATCCTTCAATTAAAATTAATGGTTACGGTGGTGGCCTCAATATACGTAAACCTATGCTACCGAAAATAATAAATTTTTAGTTGCATAACATCAGTTATTGGAAACGCTGTCATTTCGCAATAATTTTTTATTGACATTTATAAAATATCGCAAAAGTTTTG